GCTTCTTCTGGTGACCACCACCCCACCCTCATTGATGTGTTGCCCCCCTCCTCTTCCTCTTTCTTGGGAGATATCCCCTCTTCAATGCAATGCACAAGGATATAGATTGCAGTGGAATCCCCTAGTACCTATCAGGGAGAAACTTGGAATAATCGGAAAAGGGTGACATCTGCCTCTGGACTCGCCTGTGATGGCATCGCAGCCTGTTGGATTGCAAGGATTTTTTAAAATCTTCTTTTTTTATTAAAATGCAGAAGTTTGCATTGGCTTCAATCAGATGGACAGACCCTGGAGGAGTCTTTTTTTTTTATTTTTTTTTATTGCAATGGTTTATTTGATTACAAAGTAGAGTATCTAGGGTTTGATTGCACCCTCTTCCCCTTATTGCAGCAAGGAAGGAAGAGGGGGGATAAAAAGATCCCTATATATTGTAGCAGGCTATAGCACAAACAAGGCAACTGTATTCTGTAGCAGACCAGACCAGCTGCTGCTGTCAGTCAGGACTGGAGATTTCACCCTCTCCCACCAGCCTCCCTTCCAACATTTTCCTCATTCCCTGGGAATAATCTACTTGCCATCTGAGCGCTTGGTGCTGAATGATCTTCGCAGCCTTGATGGCATGTAAGCACCCCTATACCCTCCACCACCCTAAATCTACAGCAAGATGGTCTGCTAAGCAAGCCCCTGCATTGGCTACTCTATGACTTCACCATCTTCGTGTCACCTTGGGGCGAAGCTGCATTTTTTTTTCAGGGTCCACGGCGGCGGAGAGTAAAGTTTTACTGATGCCTGGGATGACCAATGTCTGTTGACCTGGTCTAGTTTTAGATTCCTGTTTGTATGTTGACTGTGGAACTCTGATTTAGACACAGGTAGCTTGGCAATGAGCGAGGGACTGCTGACGCTTAGGTGGAGGAAATTATCAAAATGATGCAAGGTTGGGCAATGGACATACCTTTTAAGCTGCTGCAGCACTACAAGTTGCAGCATGCCCCCTGTTTTTATGTCTATAATAGTTAATTGTAAGTAAAACAGTGTTTTTATGAATTACTGGCATCCTTTTAGACCTAAAGTCAACAGTTTTTAATTGAAGGCGACCCCGGCATGAAGTGCATCAGATTAAAGGGCTACACGCACAGCAAGATCTCAGCGTTGTAGGGCAAAGTGAAACACTATAGACGTAGCCTGTCCTTTTCAATTCATGCCGTGTTCCTGGGAGTGTTTACTGGTGCCTTAAATGACTGCACCCACAATGAGCGTAATAGTACGTTGTCACATTCTTTCCCTGACCCCGAAAGACTCGCTGGAAATCTGTAGTGATTGAACGGCTGGGAGCGCCCCTCTTCTTCTTAAGGCTTATTGTAACAGACCATGCTGCAGCTGTAAAACTTATAGGGCAGACCCACCCCAAACTTGATGTTTTAGTTATAGGTTGAGCCTGGTGGGCTGAGTCAGCCCCTATGTGGCTTGGATGCTTCAACAGCGAGATCTCCGTTGCATAATTGCCTGCTGTTTTCCTGTGCACTTAGGTGTTTTGGGGGTCTGCCTTAGTGTGTTCCAGCGCCTCTTGTTCCATTTTACATAATATAAGACAAATAAATATCCAATAGGAAGAGTGGTAGCCCTTCATAATGGGAACAGCAGATGTGAAGACCCAGGAACTCAGTGCAGGGACGGTGGGAGTTCTTCTTAAGGGCACTGCAGGGGTGAAGACCCAGGAATTCGGCACACGGATCGTGAGAGCTCCTCATAGTGGGCACAGGAGGGATGAAGACCCAGGAACTCAGCTCAGGGATGGTGGGAGCTCCTGATAATAGGCACAGCAGGGGTGAAGACCCAGGAACTCAGCACAGGGATGGTAGGAGCTCCTCATAATGGGCATAGCAGGGGTGCAGACCTAGAAACTCAGCACAGGGATGGTAGGAGCCCCTTATAATGGGCACAGTGGGTGTGAAGACCCAGCAACCCAGCTCAGGGATGGTGGGAGCTCCTCATAATGGGCACAGCAGGGCTGAAGACCCAGTAACTCAGCAAAGAGATGGTGGGGGCTCCACATAATGGGCACTGCAGGTGTACAGAGGCAGGAACTCAGCAAAGGGATGGTGAGAGTACCTCATAATGGGCACAGCAGGGGTGCAGACCCAAGAACTCAGCATAGAAATGGTGGAAGCTCCTCATATTGGACACAGCAGCTGTGAAGACCCAGGAACTCAGCACAGAGATGGTGGGAGCTGCTGATAATGGGCACAGCAGGTGTAAAGATCTTGAAACTCAGTGCACGGATGGGATGGAGGATCTCCTCATAATGGGCACAGCAGGTGTACAGACCCAGGAACTCAGCACAGGGATGGTGGGAATCCCTCATAATGGGCAGAACAGGTGTACAGACCTGGAAACTCAGCACAGAGATCTCCCCAATAGAGCCTAACTGGTGTTTTACCTCTCTAGTATCTACCAGAATTTTTAATATTAAGTTTGAGAGGACTGACCCTGTTGTCGATGTTGACATTCGCATAGACTGGCTGTAGAATCTGGTCATGGTCTCGCTTCAGTTGGTGTTTGTATGACCAAACAGCATATTGAAGTAGAGAAATCTGGCAAATCCACTTGATGAGCAATAGAGGTATAGAGTCCCTCAGCTGTCATTAACATGTAAGCGGTTACAGTGAAGGTAAGGAGGAGGGACATATTTAGTGTCAGATAACTTTCCATCAAAGGCAAAGTCGTTGGGAGAATACTTAGTCATAATGATCGGGTAGTTGACTCTTGCCGAGGGATTCATATTGATACATAAGCTCAGAGCAAGGTGGGTGTGTAGGAGGAAAATAAAAGGGCTTCAGATGCCTGCAGACACTGGTTCCATTTATTGGCTTTCTTCTTCCTTTAAACTTTGCCCTGATTCATGATTGTGCCAGAGTAACAGTGTGCATGCACATATAGGGCAGCCCATTAATGTCAATGGTCTGGCCTACACATGACAATCACACCATAACTGCCATGTTCTGACAGGAAAATGTACATCCACTGCTATGACAAGGCACGGCGTGGGTGTACTAAACAAAAGAGCAAAGATGTTCCTTTGGGGTAGGAGGAGGGTGAAATAGCGTCTATACACCATATTTATTTTCACATTATAAAAAGAAAACATATCCTTTATGGTTGAAAGGTGATCTTTGGCCTTCCCTGCAGTCTTGCGCAGTTGTACCGCCTCTTCTCCTGGGCTGAAATGGCTTCATCTGATTGTTCTGCACACTGTGGGCTTCTCACAATGAGTATTAGAAGCTGCAGCAAGTCAGGTAGAGCCCGCCTCATTTCCTGGCTGGAAGACGTTCAGCATCATTTCTTTCTTCCTCCCCAACCCCGACTGTCCCTGGCCCGCCCCTTTCATTGGATTTGAGTTCTTCCAATTATGAAGACTCAGTATCACACGTGGGCATTCCCTAGGGTGGTCTGTCTAGGAACATCCACCCTTCCAGACTGACATCCACCCATCAGTGCATTTGGACATTTGCAAAACTCCTCCCAAGAGCCAGCCCACTGTTTGTAACAGATAGATAGATAGATAGATAGATAGATAAGCATGTTCAGGGGGAAAAGGAGGAACCAGGGAAGGCTAAAACTAAGCAGATCAAACGTCAACTTTAATTACACTTGAACTGTAGATAGATAGATGGATACTATGGATGCTTGGTTCTCAATTGGTGGGTCCTGACCAAAAAATGGGTCGCGACTCCGTATTCATTGGGTCACTGAATGCCTTCCACTTTTGGTGAGAGGCTACAGGGGCGTCCTGAGGCCGAGTGTCACTCGGAGTGGATACCGGATGACACCCTGCCATGACGTTATTGCACATGCGCAGCTATCTTATTGATACCTTCCGGCGGCCATCTTGGTGATGGAGGGGACATTCACCTGGAGGTATAAGGTATGCCGCCGGGTCCCCTCCTCTCTCCTGAAACTGTCGGGCTCTCGGTCCATGACAGAGTGCCCGACTTTTCAGGCATTGTGGTGTCACCCCTCCAATGGCGTCACGCCTTTTGATGCCACTGAGAGGCTCCTCAACTTCCCACTAGTGCAGAACTGTCAGGTCTCACGCCAAGCAGCCTGGTGCCGAATGTCAGCTTAAGCTCCATCCATATACGTGCATTGCTTACAGCTCCCTCACGTGTCCTATAGAAGAGCCTGGACCAGAGTGACGTCACATTCTGGCTTCTGGCATCTCTTCAGGGTGCACAAGGGAGCTGTACAAGCAATGCACGTACGGATGGAGCTCCGTCACGGCACGGCACGACCCCAAGCTGAGGATCCACTCCTGTTCTCGTAAGATAGGGAGACTGGAAGGATCTTAAAAAAAGCAAAAATTGTAAAAAAAAACATTTTGGAGTGTATATGTGTGTGTGTGTGTGTGTGAGATTGCGTCTGTGGTTGTGCGTGTCTGTCAATGTTTTTGAGGGCCCATTAACACTAGTACAGTGCCTATCATGCATTCTGGTGTGGGAGGGGCATTGCATTTCCAATCATTTCAATGGCACCCCAAACGCACCTCCCACCCACCGTTCGATCGCCCGCACTGGAACATGCAGTACTTCAATGCCATATGTTCCATTGCAGTGCGACTTGGGTCACGACTTAATGACCGAGGACAAATGTGGGTCCTGAGAACCACTGCTTTAGATATATAGGAGAGAGAGAGAGGAGAGAGAGAGAGAGAGAGAGAGAGAGAGAGAGAGAGAGATGTGTCATTGTAATGTAATAAGGTTCCGTTGTGTCTGGTGGAGAGTTCGGGGCGCCGCATAATGATTTGATTTG